GCCCATTTTGCTTTAGCTCAAACCTAAAAAAGTGTAATATACTGCCTGTGAAAGGGTGTCTCTTAGCTCGAAAAAAGATGAGAATTACAGTTTGAAACACCATTTTGCTCTAGCTCAAACTTAAAAAAAAGTGTAATATACAGGCCCTTTCAGGCATGAAAGGGGGTCAATTAGCTCGAAAAAAGATGAGAATTACAGTTTGAAACACCATTTTGCTTTAGCTCAAACCTAAAAAAGTGTAATATACTGCCTGAAAGGGTGTCATTTTGCTTTAGCTCAAACCTAAAAAAGTGTAATATACTGCCTGAAAGGGTGTCTCTTAGCTCGAAAAAAGATGAGAATTACAGTTTGAAACACCATTTTGCTCTAGCTCAAACTTAAAAAAAAGTGTAATATACAGGCCCTTTCAGGCATGAAAGGGGGTCAATTAGCTCGAAAAAAGATGAGAATTACAGTTTGAAACACCATTTTGCTTTAGCTCAGACCTAAAAAAGTGTAATATACGTGAAACATTTTGCTTTAGTCACTAAAAAAGTGTAATATACTGCCTGAAAGGGTGTCTCTTAGCTCGAAAAAAGATGAGAATTACAGTTTGAAACACCATTTTGCTCTAGCTCAAACTTAAAAAAAAGTGTAATATACAGGCCCTTTCAGGCCTGAAAGGGGGTCAATTAGCTGAAAAAGATGAATACGTTTGAACACATTTGCTTTAGCTAACTAAAAAGTGTAATACTGCCTAAAGGGTTAGTCAATTTGCATTTAGCTCAGACTAAAAAAGTGTAATTTACTGCCTGAAAGGGTGTCTTTGTTGTTAATTCTCATCTTTTTTCGAGCTTATTGACCCTTTCTCCACAAAATGGTGTGGTATACTGCCGACATTGGGGCTCTAGTAGTTCAAAATCAGGCTAATGTTGCTACCGTCTGATGACGCTGCCGCTGCATAAAGCGTGATTAACCACGCTGCAATTTAAAACTAGAGTTTTACCGTAGACGGTTTTACATGACTATTTCCCTTATTCATTTTATGTCTTCAAAAAAAAGTAATGCCAAACATTAGATTATAGAGTCAGTTAAACCTACTAAGAATGTAAAATACTTACCCATTATTGCACCTTTGCTCATTATGTGATGTGCGCAGTTGTGCAGAAACAGCAATAAAAGACTTTGCAGAGAAAATATAACCTTTGTCAAAACAATACTCATTACCATACTTTCGAAATTTTGCGCCTATTTGAACCTGTAAACGGCATTGGCACGGGGCACAGAGTATTACACAGTTGCATGCATATGAAGCATATACTGCATTCATATGAAGCATCAATAATTGCCTTCTGAAGTCGCACGGTAGGGTGTCGTAAATGTTTTGTAACTGTAATTTTTATCTGCCATCAATAGAGACGAGAATAATCTCATGCATGTAGTTTTAATATAAATGTATCAAGAGACTGGTGGTATACTAGTGCATTATCTCCATTAAGACCTTTCTATGAATCTATCTGAATTTTAAACTAACCAAAAATGGAATATTTGGTACTCAAAACAAAAATCCATTATTTATACACGTCTTTATTTTTGTATACGCTAATATTTATTTGATTTTTAAAAAACTAGAATTTTCTCAGGGTCGATATATCTACGAAAAAGATACTTCTAGGAAAAATTTCCTTATTTCGTTAAGTTTGGTACGCTAACAGTTCAAAATAAAATTTTATTTGTCTGAATACCTAATCATAATCCTATAAATCTGTAATCTTTATAATATTTTTTTGTCATCAATATTATTTCTTGTGCTAGATAATTTTATGCTATAATAGTTTTTGTATCAGTTAAAAGTTACAAAAAAGTTTTCACTCTTATTTTCAAATTAAGTGGGTGATAGATCAATATGTTTTCTCATAACTGCATTTGATACAATTAAATGATTACTTACATTTTACTTATTATTTCGATTACATATTTTATGGTAAATTTTAAAATATTTCTTAAAGTCGTTCCTTGTTTTTTTGTTGTTAATATTTGCTGAGTGTACGGAAATATTCATAGAAGAATAAATTTGTTCTTTAGTGTATTTCTATTTAAGCGGTAAATATTTATACTTTAAAACACACTACAAAAAATTACTGAAAAGATACGTACACAATATTAAAAAGCATACATTTTTTATCTATAGCAATTGTAGAAATACAAAATTATTTATATCAAACTTGATTACAAGACGGTATAACTAGTTAAAAAATATATTATACAATACACATAAATATGTGTGTTGTAATGTCACGTTTAAAGTATTTGTTTCTTTTGATTCTCCGCTAATGGACTTCAACAGGTAAATAAAGGTATGTTGAATAAACGAAAGACTAAAAGCATATTAAGTAGGTATATCCAAAAATATGAAATTAATAGCACCAAATGAGTATCACCTTGAAATTCATTATTATATGCGTGTTGAGGAAAGAAATTTCGCAAAGAAAATAAATGATTTTAATTTATAGATACTAATTGAATACAATTCAATATAATAATATTGCATGACAGTCCCCTAATTAGTCTGTGACATCAGATATCAATCTTACCTTATATATCTTAAAAAAGTATATTACATACAATACTTTTTCCAATCTTCTTATAAAATTGCACTCAACTTTAATTTATTTTGTGCCCTAATATATTAACTAAATAGTGTACATTATATAGTTGTACACTATAGTAGAATAATAATGTACATACATTATTATTCTAAAAAATATCTCATTTTTCATCTATAATCATGTAGCAAAAATTCATTTGCTATGTTCCTACAATATTCCCATATTTAAAAAAAACCCTGTGGATACTCTGAAAATCATATTTTCTTAAATCTAGCAATACATACGATTTTCTCCTTGCAACGAAGCAGTCGAATTATTTGCATGATTTATCACTTGAAGTCAGAACAGGGATGTCTGGCTGCATCTTCATGGTAAGCGCAGTGGGATCATAATATCCAGCCAAATAGTATGTGTCATTGTTGTCGTAAATGAACTGATAATGTTTTGGGTCACTTCCGTATTTTTTGTTGAAACCCGTAATAGATAATACTTCGCATTTATGGGAAATAGTTTGAACGTCATTTTCATCTTCATGCGGTGATTCGAAAAGCGCGCCCTGGAACAAATAATAGAATTATGATTACATAATACATGATTATATGATATTAATCATGTAAGACTACAGATGGGAGCAGTGTGAATTATTAGTTTCAGGATATAGTCGGGAAAGTTCTTCATTTGGAACAATTAAATAAATTAAAACAATTTAGATGACAACATCGAAAAAGGGCAATCAATATATGTAATTAGACTTACGGGATATTTCAGATTAGGGCATCCTTCGGTTTCTTCAGGATGATAAAACCATTTTACACGCACTACCATGTTGCTAGCTGAGGTCTCCCACATAGATTCGATACGGCCGATATAGGGTCGGTCTGGACGACCAGTAGAGAGAAAAACAGCACTATCGCCCACGTGAATAGACTCCTTTCCGCGCTGAATTGTTTTGAAAAATTGCTTCTTTACACGGCCTTTGGCGCATGTTCGTCTATAACCCTTGCCTACCCAAGTCCACAGTTGGCGTGCTGGAAGAAAAGCTGCTATTTTACTCTTATTTGGCTCCATTGAATCTTGCCGTTCTTTCTTCCTGCCCGGTTCCTGCAAAATATATTGTTCAATCAATCCAAATTTCTTTTGTATATGTATTAAATCACTCACATAAATAGAGACAGAACTTTCGGTCACCGACGAGGCAACCTCTTCTTCAGTCATGGTTTCTTCTTTGATCATTGGATTGAATTTTTCCAGCTTGGAATTGGCGCTGATGCTCTTTGTCACCAATATATCAACTGAAGTTGTGGGCGATATACTGTTCTCCTCACGTAATGCCATACCATCATCTTCGTTTGGAGATGAGTGCTCAGTATCTCTATGGTGGTGTTTCTTATGCTTTCTTCGCTTTTTGTGCTTACGATGTTTGCAGATTTCATCAACACATTTGTATTTCCGGCGGTGCTTACGTTCCTCATCTTGATTTGTTTCTGATGATAAACGCTTCAGTTTATTCTTACGAAGCTTTTTTAGGCGCTTTCGTTCCCTATAAAAAATGTATATTTATATACGTATATTATACTATATAATAGTATATATATATATATATACTACTATATAGTATTATATACTATACTATACTATACTAATAGTATATATATATAATAATCTTCACAGACGGTATAAAAATCTATGAAGCATTTTATTATCACATGCACAAAGAATAAAATTCATTATTCGTGTTATGACAATCACAAAACAAGAAAATAATTGTTTACAAACCTTTCAACTTCCTTACAAGACTTGCTACTACTACTAGCCAAACCTCTCTGCGAGATTTTAAGGTTATTTGTACTTAGAGTAGATATTCCTGTACTGTGATGACTTCCATCACGGTCCTGATTACTGTGTCCTGTGCTTCGTTTCCTCTTACCAAGCGACAGCAATGGATTGCGATCATATTCTGTGAATATAAAATAAGTACACAGTTCAGTTTCATAATAAATTTGATGATTTGTGGACTTACCAACAATAGGATAATCACTTAATAGAAAACGAATATCTTCTAGGGCAATTCTTCCACTGTCTCCATCGTCAAACTCTACGCTCACAAATTTTCTATCAATAATGGAGTCAGGAGTTCCTGGTTCAGCTGCAGTTCCAGGATAGAGACATCGATATTGTTGGCTCCAGTATGCGCAAAGGCGTGTTCCTGTCTGTACGTCACTGGTGGCTTCAGGAGCTACCTCAAGGATTGCATCACGAAGAATTTCTTCGCGCGACATGATATGAGGGCGATTGCCTCGTTCGCCATCTAGAGTCACAGCATATATGTCAGGTGGCTTTATAGGATTTAAACAACCAGCGTAGAAAAGTCCACCCATGGCTGTAAGAACGCGAGTATTTGCCTTATCCAAATGTTCTCCTGTGAGGAGACATTTGGTATCAATTCTTCGCTTGCGCTCTCTCAACTCTGATGATCGCCTGTGCTTTCGGTCTTTGCTTCGAGATGTCTTCTTATGCTTAGAATGGTGCTTGGATTTGTGATGAGATTTTCGTTCTGGTGACGGAGTGCCAGTTTCACTGCCTTGTGCCGAAGAGTCGGATCGTTTAGAACTGTCGTCCTCAAGAATATCTGTTTCTTGCTTAACATATATTGATTCCATCTTTAGACGAAGAGGTACTTTTCCAGAACTGTCCTCATCAGTCGTAGAGAATCCCGTACTGTCAGTATTGCTTTTGAGATTGTTGGCATCTGTGGAGTCATTACTTTTGTACCTCAGTCCCTTAATATTCTTATTACTAACTCGATTCTTTGATGCCAAGATATATCCTACGAGGCTTTTCGGCTTCTTTGCTACTATTGTCTCGGTCTCAGCAGCGTCATCGTGTTTTCTCGGTATTCCACCTTTCCTTTTGGAGAGCTTCTCAATGTAGTTAGTCTCCACATCTTCAAACTTGCTAGATTCGGTGTCACTGGAAAGCTTAGGAAGCTCAATCAGAGTGCTTTCTGACTGAGAAGATGAAAAACTTGGAGATAATACCACCATAGGTGTACCTATAAATGAGTTTCTGGACTTGCTGTCAGACGACAAAGGAGTTGCAATTCTAGGTGGTGTTATTTCACCATCAGAAAGAATTTTGTTTTGGTGCAGATTTCTGAGAACTGGATTAAGCTTTTCTATTTTGTCCAACTCTCTACGTTTTTCTTCACACTTTCGTGTGATGTCCTGCAAACGGTTTAGCATATCATCCTCCATCGCATGCAAAAGTTCTGCATTTGATGGCCATATGATTTTTCCTCTGCACTCAGGTGTATGCTGATGATCTTCATCGGACTGTTTGCAAGATAGTCTTGTATACTTTGCCTTCACACGGTTTAAAGTTTCTTTTATGTCCTTTCTCAAAGTACTACTATTTTCCCCATCTTCTTCTTCATCTCGTTCTGTCTCATCAGACTCCAGTTTTCGCTTTTTATATGATTTTTCATTGCAGTCCTTCTCGTGCATTGATCGTCGTCGAGATCTATTGTTGTCATTGGAGTGTTTTTGAGATTTTCGTTTCCGTGAATCGTCTGAACTCGACTTGCGGCGCTTTCCCACCTCCTCGAGTCTTTGCTCTGCCAAAGCACACAGTAGATTGAGTCCATCGAATGATTCCTCTCTTTCTACATTGCTGACATCTGTTGGTGATATTGTGGGAGGAATTGTCTTAGGAGATGTTTCTGCACTTATGGGTTCCTTCTTAATTTTCAATGTCTTTTTTTCGAATGCTTCTATAGAGTTTGAAAGTAACTCTAGACCGCTTAGGTCCACAGGAGTCATAGATGTTGTTCCAGATGCATTCTTGGATGTCTCACTATCATTTTGCATAACTGCCAAGGAAGTATTATCTGCCGGTATAGACACCATTTCCAGGCTGTCTTTTGGGGGCAGAACAGTGTCTTCAAAAATAGACAAACGGCCGTTGGTTAAGCCCTCGGTGATTGTATGACACACGATAGATTCCTTAGGATTTTCGCTAGTGGTTGTGCTTACTATTAAGGGACAATCATCTCCGCCAGACGTGTTGTCATCTTCACTCATCACTGGAGTATCGGTCTGGATGTTTGCATCCTGAACTTCGGGCACTGTACACTGTGGTTCGTCTAATTCCGGAGGTACGTTAACCAGCTGAAGAGGTTCTTCCTCAATTGGTGTGAGACAAACCGCAGAAGGTGGAGGCGTTATCATCTGTGGTATATTTGTCCGACAGTCGTCGGTAGAGGCGCTTGCAGACGCAATTTGGACAAGATTGTTCGATGGATAGTACAGTTGAGAAAGACTGGGAGTCAATTCGGTTCCAACGGAAGAGGTGTGAAGAGCTGTCGATTTGTTCGAAGAGGCGTCAAAGACAGCGGGATCAAAAGGAGCAGTAGAAGCGCTTGAGCAACTGGTACTAGTTCCCGCGCAATCTTCAATTTTTATGAGCGTATGAGACGGAATCGGAAGTGGGATGCCCTGTGGTGGATGGTTTACCCCAGCCTTCCTCTTCACCGGATCAGATGTGAGCGCAACCAGCCTTGTACTATGCGTTTGAGTGTGCTGGAACGAAATGAGAAAAGATTATGATAGTGACACAGTACTTCACCGCGTAACAGTCTCACGAGAATTTACCTGGTGAAGGGTGGTGCTTGCTGCCAAGTAGTCTGAGCCGATAAGCTGCAATGGTGCCAGCGGGGGTGGCTGATGCATGGGCTGAGCTATCGGTGGTATGAGAACATGGGGTGGTTGAATGGCCGCAGTTTGCGAGTACGAGGGCCACACCACAGCTTGTTGGAATGGTTCTAGATAAGAAATACATATTTTCTCTAAATATGCCACAATGATGAGTTGTGTTGAACGTATTTGTGTGAAGAGTGAAAGAAAGAGAGAAAATAAAAGTATTTAGGATAAGCATGATTAGTGTTTCTGTCAATTATAGCAAGATACAGTAAGAAGCAAAAAAAACAAACATGATCAATTAAAAAACAGTGTGTAACAATTGTGAAAATATAATAGGTACGTAAATATAATAAATCAGTATTATTTGTGAAATGTTTTATCTGTGCAAGTTTTTGGTTTTAACCATTTTAAATAAGGACAGATTGCAAGTACAATTTGTTCCTAATATAAAATTCAAAATATGTCTGTATATTGCATATTTTGAATTTTAATTTTTAATACATCTCATCGAATAAAAAATACACGTATTAATTGTTACTTAGTGTCTTTTAAATTATATATATATATATATATATATAATATGTATATATAATATAATATATATACATATATTATATATATATGTATATATATATTATATGTATATATATCATATTTATATATATTATAACTATTATATATATATACATATATATATAATATATACATACATATAATATATATATATATTATGTATTACATATATATATTATTATATATATATATATATATGTGTGTGTGTGTGTGTGTGTGTTATGTATATATATATATATATTATTATATATATATATATATTATTACTATATATATATATTAATATATATTATATTATATATGTATATATATAAGTATATACTTATATATATGTACATATGTATATATATACTATTTAACATTTATTATTGTTGTAGCAGTTCTGTACACACACAATTGTCATTTACACAATTTAACAGTTATATAAAAAATATACGTCAATTTTCATTTGTAGAAATTTAGGTGGAAAACAAGTTATCTAATTATAAGTGTTTAAAATAAGAAATATATTTATAGAAATTTATATTTAGAAATATATATATATTTCAGAATTCCCAAAGCTTTTGCCAATAGAAATTAATTAAGATAAATACGACCCAGAGAAGTGCTGCTATTATAACATAAAACACTCATAGTCCCTTGGAAATCCTTTAAGCATCTAGTTGCAATTGAATACAATAATTAGTGGTAAAACTTAAGGATATTTACCAATTGTGGTTGTCGTTGGTAGGAAGAGAAACTGTCCTGTACTCGGATCTCGGACTAATTGAAACCCAACAGGTGGTATTGGCATAGGTAGCATGGATTCCATGGGTACGGGAGCTGCAAAGACAAAACTCTTTATAATAGAGTATTTGGATAGTAATTTAACAAAGTTCGGACATTATCAACAGTATTTAGAGAAAAAAACGCGGGAAACCATTACTGAAGGCAGTTTGTTTACATATACTCTCATGTTTGCTGCACGATTATAGTGTGCCTTTTGCGCATACCATTGGACCATTCTAGTGCTCCGCCTCTCAATTGTGATTCGCTGCTTATCGAGAATTAACTGAGAGTTGGTGTGGTTACGTATGACATCATCCTACCCATGATATTAACCGTGATTTTAATTTTAAAATGCTTCGTAAAAGAATTTTCAAAAAATGAAAAAAAAACCCCAGAATAATTAGTAATACAAGAAGAAATATTTACACAGGCTAAGTATTTTTCTGCATTTAATATTCATTTTTGATAAATAATTTGTCTATTTCCCCCATTAGTCTAAACTTTTACATTTAATAATAAGTATAATAGATTAATCTGATGGTTTCTGTTATATATTAATTAATTCAATATTGCTATATTCGTAGTGAAGATGTAGTTGAATTTTAATTTAAAAAAAAAAATACGGAAAACTGGTTTCATTATTACAATTTTGTTTGTATTAGCTCTTCAAAATTTTTTTAATTTATTTCCCACATTTTCTGTTATTTCGTAGTGTACTTGTGGCTTTTATTTAACACATACTGAAGAAAAAGAGCTTCTCATTTTAATGCAACATAATAATTTTAAATGATACTATTTTATAATTTACGTAATAACTGCTTAATTTGTTTTTTTTTGCATTGGCAAGCAGTTTTATTGGGCAAAATTGTAAATATGCACTTTTGTAAAGGAGATTGATCTGACTGAAATTATCACCAGCATGAACTACGGGGCAATTTCACAAACAGCTTATTTATATATAATTTGTTTTTGAATTAATCTAGCATTCGATGGTTAATGATGGTTAACGAGTCATATCTATAAATTTAAGCGCTTTGTGACTCTGCCAAGAAAGGTAGTATTTCTACAATCCATTCTGGATATTAATATACACATGGAATCATTGTGATTTTATTTCATAAATCGGTGGATTTATTGAGTTTATTTTGTTGACTACAGTCATCATCGCAGTCAGATTCATTTACAAATGATTCTGGATGAAAGTGTCATTCAATACAATCCTGTGTTGAAAGTCTATGTTATATACGATTGACAAAATCTTGTGCAGTAGGGAGAAATTTTGATACTAACCAGGATACTGCCAGAGAGCAGGTGGAGTTCTCACTGCATTTTGCACACTGGATACACCCATTGTTACAGCTTCGGATGAAAGTGGGATCATGCTAGAATTTGTTCCTGTGAAGAACATATTTTGACTGAGAGATGGTGTGACGGCACCTAAAAAGTTGTTTTGTCCAGATTTTCCAGAGATGAATTATGCGAAAAAAATGAGACAAGAAAACAAGGAAAAATAAATCGAAACTAAAAAAGGTTTATGATACAAAAAATGGAGTATTGATGATTATCAAAATAATAATGGAAATTTGAGAATATAAAAAGCTATAACTAAACAATAGTAATTTACATTAAGAATAGAAGACTTGTATATAAGAATCCTTTGACACTATTCTTTAGTTTACTTTTAACTCATTATATTAAACTACCCATGGTACATATATGATTCGTTGTGAGATCTTTATAACTATAGTAAATGAGAATATATTTCCAAAAAAAAAATTGTTTTTTCATATTACATAGATCTGCTCGGAATTTAAGTTTTCCAATTTTTTAACGTTTTTTTTAATATCGTTTAAGTTAAAATCATTCAAACAAAACGTATAAAATTATATTAAATACTTGGATGCCATGAGGCGAGTGTCACAAGTCTACCTATTTTATAGTGTCATTTATAATGAATATTTATGCGTATTATGCATATTTAAATTCGAAAACTCATGAAAGCCATAAACTTACATTCACATTATGAAAAATTAAATTGTAGCAAAGTACATATATGTCTTTTTGTTGCAAAAAAAAATTGAAGAATGAAAGATACAATAATTTCTTCTAAATCACATTACTAAGCATACTAGTAGTGTTTTATATACCATAATTTATATGAAAAATTTAGCAGATATCTTTTACAATATACATCTATATATTTTTCAAATACGTATGTTCAATCATGATTATGATAAAGTAGTATGCTATCAGAACATACCTAGGTCTGTCAATCCGATGCCAAATCGGTTTATGTCCTTGGGTTGTTGTTGAGCATTAACATGTTCCTGTAGTCTCTGTCTCGCCACAGCGATACCTACTGGAATGGCGCCAGCTAAAATAATACACAAGTTTTAGTTGTTATATTTATATTTTTGTGAATATCTAGTTGTTATTAGCACCATCTGCGACCACTCACCAGTATGTTGGCCACTTGTTACCGTATTGTCCATCGTGCTCTTCGGTGATGCTGATTCAATTTTGACCAGACTATTGTTGGATGTTGTTACTTCGGACACTTGACAAGGTTCGCGCTTAATGTGAACCAAAGTATTGCTAGTACTTGCACCAATGTGCCTAGAAGCTCCACGGACTGATGCAACAGATGACGATGATGTCGAATGGACAGATGATAGGGATGTTGTCCATGAAATTGGCAAAGTACGACTACAGCCGGAACTTAAATCACTGCTAGATGCGGTAGATGACACTGTCGTAACTACTGGTGATAGTGATTTATATGATACTGCACATGGTGAGGAGACAGCAGCTTCCATGGAGGAAGCAAAGTGACTGACTCCATCTGATTTGTGATTTCGTGAACATTCACCACTGATGACTTCAGACTTAATGGAGAAGCTCCCCACGGGAGGCAATGGTGGCACCTGAATTTGAAGTGGCTCCACAGCAGATGAACCATGCTCCCAGCGACCTATGCATGTCTTCTTTGACACTGACGTTCCAGTGCTCAGGAAGTCTGTTTGCGATTGCACGAATATGCTGCTGTTTGCCTATCCGTGAGCGGGGAAGAAACGAAGCGAGAGGGTAAAATCAAATGATATGAAAAAGAAAGTGTGCGGTAATGGTATTGAGATAACCCTCATTCTCCACAGACCAATTTCGAGATTGTGCGCTCGGATTGAGACCAAAGAAAAGGGTGCTCAAAAATTACAGCGTGGTTCAGTTAAAACAGCTGAAATTTTGTCAGTAATTATTGTTCTATTCAATCAATTATTAATAATAATTGGTGACATCATCAATGATTCTGTAGTCATAAATTAAATACTGACTAATAATATTAAATATTTAATGTTTTTACTGATAAATTGCAATAACTAAAAAAAAAACCTAATTAAATTTTACCTCGTATAAGGGACTACTTGAAGTCTTAAGTAAATAGTAATTAAAATACTGACCACAATGTTCAAAAACAATAAAATAAATTTCTCCATTTTCGCATGAAAAATTTTTTTCTACGGATTCCGATAAAAAAATTCTATATTCAATGCAAACATCATTAATAATAATTAGGATAATTTCACTTTATATCCAATTTTCCCGAAATTCTAAATTAAACTGTTTTTTTTTAAATTAATATAAAAACACAGAATTTCGCAATGGCAAAATGTCTAAATTTCCTGAAGCAACTGTGGTCCTTTTATAAGTAACACTTGTTTTGAGACAAGCTGTGTAGAAGCCATGAAAATCATTGGAAAGTAGGGATGAGAGGACACAACATTGCACATGGAACCCTATCAATAAATCATAGGATTTTTTCATACATGAATGGATTTAGCACACATGTAAAAATGATGATTCCTGCCTAACAAAACAGGGGAGAGCATTTTTCCACTTACTTGACTGAATGCTACAGTTCCCGAGTGAAAGTTCTTGGCGACCAATTCTAATGGTGCAACTGGTATGAATGTTGAATTATGCGGTGGTGTGTTGTAACGTCCAGTTGCAAATAGGGATTCCGCAACTGCAAAGTGAGAAGACAGAGGCATTTCTTTTATTTTGCAAAACATTTAAGGAATATTTTAATGTCCCCACAGTTCTTAATGGTAATAATGACGATGTTTGTCGTGTTTGAGAACCTAAGACTCAATATTTTGTGTTTATATATACATATGACACATATGCACTAGCGAGGTGAGCATTTTATTTAAACAAGTAATTTCCATTAGCATCCAAGTAGATCCACCACAAATTGCTCCCGTCCCAAGGACAGGGGACGTTTTACAATAAATCGATCTTGGGCGCTGGATAGAAATCGCGTTATTGTGTGCGATTTGCCATGAGAATCCCACGCGTGTGGTAAAAGCGTGACTTGCATCACTTTTGCCACCACAGAGAAGTCAACTAATGAAAAACTAGTTTTCTGCCGCACTCAAGCACAAATTATATTCCTTCTTTCTCTCTCTCGCACTAATGGGCAAGAGTGCTATTTCGACGATGGAATGAGGAGATGGTGACTGGATTATTACGCAACTCTGTTCACTGCGCTATTTCCAAAACGAATATGAGTGGTAGTGTTTAAAATGTAATTTATTTGTGCTCGCAGAGCATTGCATTGAAAATTATTCAAATTTTTGCAAACACAATATAAAAAAATGGTGCCATGCTAGTTAAATTCTGTCACTGAAAATTTACGAATACGAGACTCTCGAAAGTGTATTCAAATATTTTAGTAGACTTTAAATTATGTGTTTGTTTAGTATGTGTTAAGAGAGTTGTCGATATGTATGTATGAAAATAAAATATAGGATCTTTTTCCTGAGAAGATTACTACTCAATCTGATACTACTCATCATTATTTTTTATTGAATATTAGTATATTAAATGATATTATAATGTAATATATTATAATTATTAATATTTTAACTAATGTAATAAATTAAGTGAAATGAATGTAAAATTAAAAAAATGACCATCCAGAGATCCCAATAACGGGTGTTTTTCAAAGTCAGTTTGAGTTATGGCAGAAATCTTGGACTCTTATGCTACTTTACTTAGTCTTCTTTTGGAAAATTGATTGGTTGTTCTTTATACGCTATTCCCCAATTAAAGTTTATGACAGAGAAAAAAAATATGTGCATTTTTTGACAGATTTTCGAGTATATTAGTATGCTTCGTCCTCTCTCATGTTCAAAGCTTATATAATTGTTTTGGAATTATTTTTGTCTCCCGTTTTGTAAATTCCTGCATTTTAAAAGGATATGTTCAGTAGGAATTATTGTATGTGTAAAATCTAGATGTAAATATATTTTAATTGTATGTATAGCTGAAAAATTCTATTTTGACCGTGTTATGCCCAAATTTCATTCACCTCACATCTTTTTCACGCAATTGCACACAACGGTGAGCGCTATCATATTCCACCTATTTCCCATCGCAATGCAATTTGCGCTTTTCATTAAACTTTAATGCAATTCCAACTTGGCTGTGGGGATCGATAGTTAGCAATGTCAAACTACGGCCTACTTGATGCATATATATATATATATATATATATATATATATATAACTGTGGCTACTAAACTGACCTAAATACACTCATCGACCACTCTATCACATATATCACAAGCCAACACTGACGATGTTTACCAATCGTAAAAATTCATAAAATTTAGTCAAAGTGCAAAGTGCATTGAACTGGAAAAACTTAGATCATATTCACATCATCCAGCACGCTTCAATAAAATAAAAGATTTTGTCAGCCAAACAGTAAAAAATTGGCTTAGCCTGAGCTTCAAGCTTGGCCAGTACTACATGTATTATTTATGGTAATTACAAAGGTATATTTATTGATTTTTTAAGTCAGTAAAGTAAGTAAGATAAGTAAGATAAGTAGGAGCGAATTATGCATAAGTAATTGACAGTAAGTATAAATTTCTGATTTCCCTTAATATGAATCGAATAGGCGCTCATAAAGACAGTTAAATGAAATATTGGGAGAATTGTTGAGAATTTTAGGTATGGAATCAAATTATTTTATATTGTTAGTCAGTGTCTGAAATGTATAAAATAAGTTTTTTAATGACTTCGTAAAATATGGCCATAGTTTGCTCTGATTATGTTTCCACTGAGATGAGTAAAAATCAATTTTTTTTTATATAGTGAAGAACATTGGGGAAAAGCTTAGTTGAGGACCATTAAGGCCAATATTAAATTGTGTGAATTAGCAAATAAAGTGTGTTGGATACACAAATTATACGATTCAACTGTCGATATCAATAAGTTGATTTATTTGAGAAAGATTTTTTTACGGGAAGAGAGGAAAGATTCTAGTAAAAAATTCAGTATCACCTTAGATGCACTGTATTCTTTATTGTTTCTATAGTTACTATATTATGATGTTCCATTGGCACATAAAGAGACAAATGGTATATTCTCTTCTATTTATTGAATTGTCATATTTACCTTTATCGTCACACACAATGCAGAAATATTAAATATTGGCGTATAAACATGAACTCGTCAACAATTCTTAATATAGGAGAAGAGAAAATAATAAAAGTCCATATGCTTTGGGTAGGTTAAGGTACAATAAAAGTATATTTGTGGGTTTTTCTAAGTTTTCAGAAAGGGTCGATGGCAAAATCCCTTGACTGTATTCTGTTTTGATGAGTTGTATTATGAGAATGTCATGTGTTGGGTTCTATTCTACTATGGTTGCCCTTCAATTTCTTGCGGAATATATCTGTTGACTTGTTCCCTTATACATATAGGCTGAATTCACATTCTTCACAATTTATATGGATTCCTCGGGTCTAGAACAGTTTTCCCCCTTGGCAATAGCAGCGCCTATAGCTCCAGAATACTCATCGATATCCGCAACGAAAAGGGGACCCCATATTCAGGAACTGCCCTAACACCAATCTCTGAATTTACACAATGTAGTGTAAAGAGATATAGACAACAGATATCAACTGAGACAGATTGTTTCTACATACATAGGAGCATTTGGCTAACATGGAGAGTGAGGTATAATAATCCAAAAATTTACAGTGGGCATTTGCTTTTCTGTCTGTCTCTTGAGAATTTTAATCGGGAATTATCCTATTCATCTATACTTGTACTCTACTATAGATATGGCATTTTCATAAAAGGTATAAGTCTTGTGAAGACGTGCCATCGTTGGATTATATATGTAGATAAAATACTACGCAGAACGCAACATGAGAGCTAATGTGTGTAAACAAAAGGAGGTGAATTTGGGGAAATTGACAGTAATTTGTATTTGTATTGCAAATTTTTGGACTAGGGATATCATCAGTGAAGAGGGTGGAGAATATATCGAGAATTTGATTGAAATAAATCAGGAATGGGGAGAGTTCTCTAAGGACAATTGTATTTATGATACCACTATTTGGGAGTCCTCAGGGAATATCTGAATTCTATTGTTGGCGTTGTCGATTTCAATGGCAAAATTGTCAGGGGTATTTATAGGTATTTTTTTATCCTCATTCTCTCGCAATTATGAATTTTTAAAGGTAATTGAGAGAAAAAATCCAATTTAGCATTTTTATTCTTTTTCATTTGTGTATTCTAATTAATCATAGTATGATGGATACATATATTTTAAGTGAATCTTGAATTTTCAGCAATAACTAAACCGCTCCTTATGTTAATTCTAATTTCTTAGATATTCGCCATCATTTTCAGCTTGTTTGTTACTCTCAAAGTAACATATGTATTTCATACCCATTTCTTTCAGTTCAGTGTTTTGGGAAAAATAATTAGAAGAAGGGTACAATTTATTAGCGTTAAAAGAGAATGCTTGTTTCCCTTGGCATGGGCGTACAGGCCACAGATTTACTATCATTTGACATTCCAAAGTTTATAACATTTTGAGGGCAATGACCTCCAGTGTTGCAATTTAAATTCAACAGTATACGGACAACAATGTTCCGGTAAAGTAAACGCAATTGAAGAGAACACACATTTAGCAATTCAACGATTTTTGCCTTATGTTGTTTCTGTGCATTTCATCAAGCTCGCACAGATTAAAACCTTTCTGGAAAAGAGTTACTGGTAAAAGAGTTAAAAACTATCTTTAACGTCTCATGAGATATATATGTAAATTCACTAGTTCCTAAACTTTAATTCCTTTCCTAAATTCCTTTTCAGATGAGCATATTCATAAACAAATAATCAAATATCTCGTTCCATTCTATTACCCAAATATTGTACAATTCAAACAAATTTTGTCATAAAAATGAATTTTAAATTAAAAGTACCTATACAGAAAAATGAGACAAAAGAGATATTCTTACTGATATAATATTAGATTAACTATCAATTGACACTTGTAAAATTTCAAAGTAATAATTGAACTTTTGTTGTATCAATAATTGTGTCAGAACATCACTTATTATTAATCTTTCCAGAATTGAGTACACCAAATATTAGTTGGTCTGTGAACCGCATTGGGCATACCAAAGACATGTGACAATGGTTCAGAAGACAAAATCGATTTTGAGGAAATCCATAGACGTGTTCCGGGGTGCTTTCGAATATAAAATTAGTTTTCCGGCATCTGTCGCAATCACGTTCTGAATTACTGAGTACTCGTAGAATTACGAACATTCACTTGACGATATTCAATTCAAAGAAGATTGTAGCGTATTTCTAACTATTTTAGTTGGAGAAGCAGCAATCGTCTGCACGTATAAAGGTGATTGATTGAGATATCTGAGAATATTGTATATAAATGGGGTATACATATGTATAGAATTTCGCGCAGAAAAATTCCTCAGAGCATAAGGGTTTTAATTTTTTGAAAAATTGGGAAATTTTTATGAATTCGTAGATTTTGGCCGATATTTTGGCTAAGTGCAATTTTTTTTATATTAGCTATGTTAAATATTTCTATACTAGATAAGATAAAATCTTTACATAACTTTTACATACTTGCAACATGATGCTGAATAGTCTTTTTCTGTTTCCGTAAGGAGCATTGAAAATATCATTTCCAAATAATCTCGAAAGCATTTTGAAATAATTTTAGTTTGAATAGAAAATACATTTTATATAAATTGCAATTGAGAAGCAATCAGTAAATGTTGTAAAAAAATAAGCAAAGCTATAAAAAATGATTAAAACATCCATACTATTTCACGTTTATTTACTATGTCAATATTTTTGAATAGTTGAGATAATTTAACAAAATAACAAAAATACTTTAAGCATTTATTCAGTCACGAAAATTAATAGATGATCTACAAAAAAAAGAAAACAAAAAAGCATGACTTGGACTCAAAAATGCATAAGAACTTGAATGAGTCATCAATAAAAACGATGAAATTCACGGCTGCGGAATATTCAAATTTTATTCAACGCTTCCGGTTCTATCGGTCTGTTCAGTTCTGAACGAAATGCAATAGCGAGAAATGTATGAATTAATATCCATATTTTTACATTAAATAACTATATTTGAACAAGGTTTAGAATTTTGATAAGAAGATGCGACGGATGCGGCAAATATTTGTGGAGTGTTTTTCGAAATAAGCGTATGAGAATTAGTTGTAGATAAATATATGTTCATGACCTTTCATCAATATAGGAATCTGCTCGGGTATTCTGACATTCGTCTAACATTTCGTTTATATAACAAATATTAATAATTGCGATAATGAATAAATATTTGTGCTTCGTATTATTACATTTTTATATACGTTGCAAAAATATTTACTGCATGATATTTATAGTTGAAAATGGAAAAGCAGATAACTGCGGTAGAAAATATTGCCAACTTACTTTACACTATGGTTAATGTTAAGTGTTATCAAGTATCTATGCATAAATACCTTCGCCACCATTTGATTGTAACTCTAATGAACGTCCCGTGGTTGGTGGCCAAATACTTCCTCGTGTATGCGACGACCCAGATGGCCCCATAAAACGCCCTCCAGTTGTACCCAACATGCCTTGAAACGGCAAACTATAATAAAAATACAACATACAACACATAAACATAATGAATAGAAAATGAAAATTACACAATAAACTTATAAATCTAAAATTAATGATCAGAATGGAAATGAGTATAGCTGAAATTTTTGAAATCAAATAAACTTATGAGCAAGAGGCGCTTGAATTGAACTTAGGATAAATGGCAAATTATAACAGAACAGAATTTGCGTAAATTTTCGAATTGTTCGGATGCTCTTTTGACATTTGTCAAAAGAAAATTTGCATCGCTTTACAAATAATATCCACACACACTCTTTCTTTCGAAGTAGCGGGAAACACTCAAGTTGCCCCTAGTCTTTGCTGGGTTTCTTATTATATCGAGGGCAGACGTAAAAGTATATGCAATGAAAGCCGGCAATTTATTACTCAGAGCAACTTATTTTTTTGCAACAATAATTTCATAAATTCTTACAATTCTACATAGAAAATATGAGATTATAATTTAGCGCTATACTTTTAGACGGAATAATTAGGTGTGTATACAAATTTTACACTACGAACTTTGTATTTGTAATTTCTAGAGAAAAATGGTTTTTTAGTAGAAATTTGGGAACGTTTTTGATTGAACAAAAGCAAAAACAAGAAAAAATTGTAGTTCAAACGAAGTCGACAGTCACCAGAAGACTATGATTTGTTAATATTTTTAATAAATAGAAGTTAATAATTATGATTTGAAATTTTGTTTTATGTTCGTTCTTCTATATATATATATATATATTTACTCATTTAGAATACATAAATTATGAGCGCGTATTTACATGTTTAAGTGATGTTGATGACATATATGTCTCATCGTGAAACGTGAGAATGAAAATGAGTGGCAAATTCTGTGTATGCACACCAAAAGTCGGATGTTTTTTCTTTCCACTGATGAATGGGACTCGAATGATATTTATTTTCAATTATGAATTTTCGTATTGCTCTTTTTCACATCACAAGCAGTTACAAAACATCATATATCCAACGACATTGACTGATTTTTCTGAAAACCTCATATTTTTCAATTTAGAATTTTCACAAGTTTAGATTAATGATTCTTATAATTGAGTTTATGAACTGGAAAATATGACATACGTAAAGTTTTCGATGAGACCCTCAACAGGAAAACAGTATCACGGCCCATCTGTGCACTCATTTGTAGGTGATATTATGGTAATGACTTAACTAAGCGAATACATCTAATATATATACTCGTATAATATCCCCTGAGACAGAAGATATTTAGGAAATTGCTCATACATTTCAGCTGTATGTCATTTTCATATTTCCATACACATGCGGTATGGTTGTGTCTCTTGCACTATCTCAACATGAGATCTTGGCGCGTACAGGAAGGTACCGACTGAGGAAATTATATCGGCGAGTGCCATAGAAAAAGTCACTCATGCAGCCGGATCAGACGAGGATTACTTCCCGGAGAAAGGGTTCAATGTCGAGGGTGAAAGTGGAACTAATTGAGAAGGACACAATTGGGTATGAATCTCTGAATAGAAATTACTTTCTCCGGCCACCTCTTTTTTCTCAGGCTCTACCTCATCCATTTCCTGCTCACATTTTTCATGATTTTCCCATTGCATGGGCAGAATTTGCATTGTACTGCCTCGAATTTTGTACCAATACCCCTGAGTCATAGCACTACGTGCAAACAGGAGACACCGCCACACCATTAAATACATGAAATACATAAAGGCTACACACCAGTGAGTTCAGTGCACAGGCAATCCAGTGCAAGCTTCACGTCCGGCAATTTTAAAGTTTCCCAGCTCCAGTTTCCCAAGACCCCCTATTCATTTATCAAATAAAACTTCTCATTTGCACATCACGACGTGCAGCTACAAATTTACGACTTTGAGGGTAGGTGTACTTGTGTCTCAAAAATATAGATATAAAAGAGTGTGCAAAAAAGGCAACTTTCCTTGCCTAAAGTGTAGTAGAATGATTTGTTGCAGAGAATATTGAAGCCATAAGCGTTTCGTGGTCTGGATTGCGAGAGGGGTCCCTCATACAGTACGCAAAAGATTCAACTCTGTCGGGGACAACACGTGGTGCCTGTTATGTATTCGAAATGCATGAGAAGCAGGAGCTCCTCCAACCCGTATTTATATATACTGTTCACGAAATATCTTCATGGCGCCAAATACGAGTATAACACTTTGCGATGAAAGTTTTATTGCCCCCTAAAATACCCAATTTGTTAATATCCCACCCAGATACACTTTAATATGTGTACTTCCAATCATCTTCAGTTCAGCCGATATGTTAGATAGACTCAAAGAGAGATGATTTAGGAATGAGGAAAATTTCTACACTCAACGTGTTAGTATAAACTAAGACAGAGCAAATTATGATGTATTCTACTATGTCAAATCCATCTACGTATATGCTAATATGAGATGATATCAAGTGTGAACAAGGGTTTAGGATAAATCCATTCACATTTCCCAAGTGGCTTTTCTATTGATCAGCACTGCTGTCTATGAGTGGATTTAAGAAAGAGATTCTGATTACCTCAGAAGGCGTGCTGTGTATCCTAAAAATGGTAGATACAGTTTCCCTGCATATTACAGAGCTCTTGAATTTGGATAATGATCAAGATAATGGCAAGGGTGGTGACACATCAAACTTTATATTATGGGGACTTAGAAACGACAATAGCAAAAAACGTTTTGAAGTAAAATCGTTAATGTATACATCCCTTCATTTTGATAAGAAACTTTGCTTAGTGTTTGGAAATAATCATTACCAGAATTTGAGATGAATAATAATTTATGTCATTCACATAACGTAAGGGGAATTACATTATTAATAATAAAATTTTAGATTTTATTAAAGGATAGACACAATACAAGTGATAATACAAGTAATAAGAGTGATTATATAGATAAACGCACTCTATCCACAGCAAAGCATCAACGTTCTCTGTAGGGTGAATTAGGGATTATCAGTGTAAGAACATATTTGTGTATCCTACTCGGAATGGAATTGGACGGATATTTTCGAGTCCAAGAATAGTAATAACACTAATCAAAAATAGAGGTAAGTAAATCACGCCAGTAAAAGCCTAATCAGTATGTTTCATCCAATTTTAAATTCTCAGTGTGATGTTCTACATGTTTATACATGTTTAGGGCTTCCTGGCCCAAATATAATTAATATTTCCTTGTATGGCTTCTTCATACTTATTGTTCACTCCTCCTCTCACTTAAGAAATTTGAGAAAAAAAATAACACTGAGGGAAAAAATCTACAGAGCAGCACCAAATTGTTTAGGTTTTTTTTTTATATAAATCCCTATATTTTGTACTATTGTTGTGTTTCGTTTTAGTTACCTAAATATATAATTTTTAGGGATAAAAACCTATAAAGAGGAGTTAAATGAATGCAAACGAAGCCAATGTCGTCCAACATAATTTTTATGTTCATATACTAACAAATTAAGTTCAAAAAATATTCTACCTATATGCATATAATGTGTGCTTTTCAATTCAGCAATGTTGCTATTTCAATATTTTCATGGAATTTTATTTGACACACTCTCTTGCTTTTTTGAACTTCTATCAATTACTTTGTACTAAGCGCGATTTAATTAATAACGATTCCTCATATATACTTCGTAAATTTTCACTTCTTTGTCATTATTAAAGAAAGACGAAAAAAGTGATTAGACGAATAGAAAAAGATAATAATGATATAAAACAAAAAATCATCCCTTGGTGGATCCACAGAATTGTGACTTTGTTGAATTTATCCCTATTGGAAAGTTCTTTATATATTACATGCAAGAATTTTTTTTTATTTCAGTTACAGTGTGAAGTTGATGCCATACAGCATCTTCTAGATAAGAGGTAATTTTATTTTTGTGCTAATAAATTCTACAACTGATATTAGATGTGTAAGTGTTTCTATTCCCCTCTACTCAATGGGATTTCACATGAGTTTCTCCCATGTATCTTTTTCCATTAAGATTCGCTGGTTTGGTCTGCTGAAGAGCCGTTAAGTTTGAATACGAATGTTAGGGCACTGATTTATTGGGTCGTTAAGTACGCATACACAAAAGTGAAAAGTATTCTTTTCACGAGCGGATGAGAAGATGTAGTAAAATGCTCAATGCTCTTTAGAATGTATTATTGCAATGGGATAGAGAATCCTTGTCTGGGCTTAGTGTTATTAGATGGTGAATATGTTTGAATTAGAATATAACAAGTAACATTTTTTTGAGGACAGTGAAAAAAGTAAAATATTAATCAATATAAGCCGTACTGTGCAAAGGGCGAAATAAACTATTTATTAATATTGTTATTTACTTATAAAAAATTAAAATTATTCAACTATAAACTTTACTGCGTTTTTGCTATTCAGAATGTGGTGTTATTGTCGAGTTTTATAAGATTTTTTAACGTAACTTTGACTTTTGAAATCACGCATATCATTAACTTTTAACATGTGACATTTTAAAATTTATTTCATACACCATAATCACATACAGAACACAATTCAAGTGTTCTTTCAAAAAGTCTGCAGCAGAATTAATATAAAGTCACCCCTATGATATTCCGTTATTGTATGACATTCTTTCATCTTGCAGTAAATATCCAAAGACAACTGCTCACCCCTCTTTTTCACCACCTGCATCATTATGTCACCAGCATCTGGTTCGACACGTTGTGCTGTGCAATATAATGGTCGGATAATATTTTGAATTTATTGATAATTTTCATATAATTACAAAAATTACACACGCATTGTGTGGAGACTCATTTCTTCAGATACTAATCAATATTCTTTTTCCTCTCACGTGATCTTTTTGTTCTATATATTAAATATACATGTACCATTTGTGTAATTATGAGAATATGTAAGCGAAGTAAATAGTGGTGGAATAGAGGCAAATGTTGGCGTAAAGATATATTCTCAGCCGAGCACCAAATTGAATGGCGTTTCAACCCGATGCAAGTTGGAAATATAAGCC